ATCAAATCCACCAAGATATGATTTAATCATGTGATTTGACCCTGAAAGTGGGTAACCTCAATACACATTTTTCCTGATCTCCTTGCTCATACTGACTCCCACTCAGTAATCCTCTATCCTTTGAAACTTCCAACGTCTGAAGGTCTATGCACACCTTGCCTACACAAATTGTAGACAGACAATAACTAACGGCTTCCACTCTAGAGGAATAAGTATCACTCAAGGAAATAATTAAAAGCAATCCTGAAGATTCTCGTTTTCAATGTTGTAATGTCAGGAGAAAAAAAAAGGAATAATGTGATTGAGATTTGGAAAACAGGGCGGGTCAGCTCTTTTATTTCTCATGTCCATACACTGCTGTTTGCAAGTATTCATTTCTGGAGACAGAATTTTAAAACGGTTGGGTGGTTCATAATTACACACACGCAGGAGTATCGTGATACCTTTATCAAACCACTTTTAAAAAAATCAGACAGTTTGCAAGCTTTCGTGAGTAAGATCTCATTTCTTCAGGCTGTGCAACCACCACTTCATGGATAGTGCATAAAAATTGCAAATCAGAGTCTCAAACATTAATGGCAGGTGTCCATGCATGGGTAGTTGGTAGGTACAAACCCAGTTTGAGATCTGCGGGTTTTCCTAAGAGCATCTCCTTGACGGAGTCCTGGGAAAGCAGAAATATTAAGCTAAATAACTATTGAAGAAAACCTATGGATCACAGAATTGAGGAATTGCTCAATTTGTTTTTTAAAAATTTTATATGAATACACTGCATTGTAACATAGAATCAGAATTTAAACCCCTTCCTAAGGAGATCTCTGAGCTAACAACACACTTAAAACTGAAACAATAATTATGTAGGGCTTTTTTTAAAGCATTTCAACCATAAATATAAAAACATTTAATGTTTTTTTGAAACATTAAGTGTATTTTATTTTAAGTCAATGGCTTCTCTATAGTTGCCCAGAATATTAGCATTTCTGCAGCTGGATACAGCAGTGTTTTATACTAGGACACTCAGGTAGGAACTTGAAGAATAATTAGCTAAATTGCTCATTCTCATTGACTTAGGGATGTCATAAAACAAAACACTGCAGGGAATCATAGACTCATAGAATAACTGAATTGGAAGGTGGGCCTCTAAGGCTATCGAGTCCAACCCGCTGCTCAAGGCAGGAATCCAAATCAAAGCAGATCTGCCAGGGGGTTGTCTAAATTTCTCTTGAATGCTCCAGCAATGGGCTGCTCACCACCCTCCCGAGATAACTGGCCTTTTTTGCTGCCACATCACACTGATGGCTCAAATTCAATAATTCAAAGATCTATTACTGAGCCACCTATTCCCCCAACTTGTAACTGTGCATTTGGGTTTTTTTTTCTAGGTCTAGAACTTGGCACTTCTTCTGGTCATTCTGTTCTTTTCAGCCTTGTTCTCCAAATTATTAGCTATTCAATCCTATTTTCTGGGTGGAATAACCATTCTCTGGACTCCCTCATCCAATAAAAAGGCTGAACGGCACTGGGCCCCCCAAAAAAGGGTGCCATCACAGTGCTTCCTAGGTGTCGTAGTTTTTCAGGAGATGCCTTCTATAAAGCCGAATGGGTGGCCAGACCACAACTCCCAGGGAACACCACGGCAGTTTCCCTTCTGGCACATTAACAACAGGAAGTAGGCCTAAGACAGCCATCTGGCCTCTGAGACTAGGCCTAGCTGCAGGTGAGCAAAATGCAGGTGTCTGTAAGTGTAGATGGATTTCTGAGGGTTGTAGTCCAAAAGATTTGAAGACCAACAGGTTGTCTACCCATCCTTTAAGCAATCAATTATACCTTCCTGCAGATGATGTAAGCTGCCTCATTGTCCTTAGCTTTTTGTTGTTATTTAGTCATTAAGTCATGCCCGACTCTTCGTGACCCCATGGACCAGAGCACGCCAGGCCGTCCTGTCATCCACTGCCTCCCGGAGTTTGGTCCGATTCATGTTGGTCACTTCGATGACACTGTCTAACCATCTCGATGACACTGTCGAACCATCTCGTCCCCTTCTCCTCTTGCCTTCACACTTTCTCAGCTTTATATATTGTCTTTTAATGATGTGTAAACCACCGTTGTATACTCATTGTTTTCAGCTTTAAATATATTGCCTTTCAATGTTGCAAGCCACCTTAGGTCCTTTTCAAGAAGAAAGGCAGATTGAAAACAAACTAACAAACAAACAAACATACAAACTCCAAGTAGTTTTGAAGGGTCAGCCAATATCATTAAAGAGAAATTGGCCAAAAGGAAATCCAGGAAGCAACAGATAGTATTTCCATTTGTTTTAAGGTGCGATTGGGTCCCCTATATTTTCCATCAGTATTTCATCTCACCAGTTTTATTGCTGCTGGCTTCTCAACGAGGCTAGCTAGAACTTGCAAATAAATAGAAACAAGCTTCCAACAACACAACATCCCTAACTAGCAAATTTTAGGGCTGAAGAAAGAGCTGGAGTAATCGGCGTTAAGATCTCCTAAATTAAGGGTCCTGTTCATTTTTTTATTTGCATATGCACGAAGCTTCTTATGGCTGCCATCTCGTAAAGGTGATGGAGGCATTCAGATTTTACGTGGGCCTGCTTTGAGGATTTTGTTTTTAAAAAAGGGGAGACAGGGAGGCGGAGAACAAAAAGAGCAGAGCTGATATGAATGCTCACGCGGCAGGAACAGAAACAACAGTACTTCGTTTTACTGCTCCTAGGGGGCAAAAGAATGTTTTCAATCAAATCTGCCTGTGAACAAGGAGATTTACTCATCAGAAGCAACAAGATGAAATGTTGAAATAAGTTTGTTTTGCCCAGCACCGAGCTGCCAGATAGCACGTACTTCCCACTACAGCCTCAAGTAAATGTGAAATCTCTTCCTTTCAAACTGCTACTTTATCTGTATTTTGAAAAGAAATTCAGACTGTTATCTTTGGATCTTCCATCTGTACCGGAGTTTTAACCGGAATGAAGTCTGAAAAGTTAACTTTTTTGAACTGCATCTCCTATCACTAAGTTTCAGATAAATGAGTTAGTTTTATGACTGCACAGACATTAACGCAGCTTTAGTGAGATTAGTGCCCTCCAAGTACACTGGACTGTAAGACTATTAGCTAGCTGTGGGGCCATGGCAGTCTATAACATACTCTTCGGGGGGGGGGGCAAAGTGGGAACGTTATCTTACAGATGGGAAGCAGCAGATTCCCCCCAGTGCTCGGGGGGGGGCAAGGAGGGCAGATCCTTCAGCAAAGTACATTAGGACCCCAACAGCTGTTGGGGATTGGTTCCAAGTCCCTGGTGGATACTGAAAACCATGGAGAGAATGCTATATATAGAGAGAGAATGCTATATATAGCATGGTAAAATGGAAAAAAATCCAGAAAAAAATCTTCACAGGTATTAGCATAACTGGTCACTAGAGGGCACCAGAGATCATGCTATGTATTGTTCACTAACAAGTATTCATAGCAGTCTCTGGCTCCCTGTAGTGGCTGATTCTTGTAATACATGTGAAAATAGTTTTTTTTTCTGGATTTTTTTCTTTTAATATTTTCAGACTATGGATAAGTGAATCAGTGATACTGATCTGGATAAGGGGGTCCTATTGTACTCATACAATCCTTGGATCAGTGTTAGGGAATGCAGAAGACAGCCATCTTTCTTAGTGGAGGGATAAACACACATCACAATATCACTATCATCCAAAAAAAAAAAAAAAAGAATTCCACCAGCAGACTGTAAGTAGAAACTTAAAAGAACTGATGTTATGACTTGATTAGCAGAATTTCTTCAAATGAAGCTATGAAAATGAAAACACTTACTTTATGCCAAGTATATAAGCTTCAATGTACCTTTTTCCCACTGCATAATTACACACACACAGACACACACAGACACACACACCTTTTTGGACTAGGAAGCTAAATATTTTGAAATGGTAAATATACACATATAAGGAGGCACATTCTCATTCTGTCATTAAACAAGCGAAACAGTTAAGACAGCTCCCTTGAACTGGAGCTAAGAAAAGAAGAGAATGAGCTCATGCAGTATCTGACATTGTTGACCAAGGACTGGAAAAGTTCCTTTTGGAACCATCAGAATCCTCCAGGATTTGAGGAGCTGTAATCCCACCCCCCAAAAGTAAACTTTTGAAGGTCCATTTCTTGTACTGTATCTTTAGAGCAGATGAAAACGGCAGGGTTTCCCGACCAAATTACACACCCTCTCCTTACCTTCCTCTAGCATTCAAAGAGAAGAACTCCCGAACTCAGATGAAAACAAAAATTAGCTTAGCAAATGATTGTACACTAAAAGGAGCAGAACAGGGACAGATCTCCTGCCTAAAACAGCAAAGGCCAGATCAGGTTCAATCAAATCCACTACTGCCAGCCTTCACACCCAAAGGGAGTTCACTGGCATACAGCAGCTAGCTGATCTTACGTGGTCAGTTCCCAGAGTTCCCTTGGGAATACATTTGCTATTTCCACTCCCTGAACTACAGGGTGCTGAAATCAGGACAATGCCTTCACCCGCTGACCAAATCACCATCTTGCAATCTAGACTTTGGACTGCTGAGCTACTGGTCTTAATTAACCTCAGTGAACCAAGCACCAACATCATTGCTGGGGTTTTCCATAAATGGTGGGCTTGTTCCGTTGCACCAAGCCTTCCAAAACTTCCTATAGCCTTTGCTATGAATTAAAGACAGGTGGCATTTCGACAACACCTCTGCACAGCGCCGGATCCTGGGGCTATACTGGAAGGGAGGTGATGGCAGACAAAGGACAATCACTGTTATCCAAGCAAACACACAGCTTGACCTAGCACCAACTGCAAATATACTATGGGATCCAAACTGGGGAGATGTAACAGACAGCACTGAAAACATATACTATTTTATATGGGGGGGGGGGAAGAAATCTGAGATCTTTCCACTTGTTTCTCCCAGAAATATAAAGTATGCACCTGAGCATGATCTTACCACAATTGGAACACCAATGTCCGGCCACAGGAGATCCTCTGATGGAAGCTTGGGGGAATTCCAGACTACCACCACTTTGTTTAAGTAAGGGAGACCATTCAGCCTCTCCAAGGAGTTCATTAATACTTCTTCTCGTTCATAGGTTAACATGACTACCGTAAACTGCTCTCTTGGGACATTGCCACCCAACGCCGCTTGGAACTCTTTCCCAGAGCCACCGGTTCCTCCTCCAATAGGTCGAAATCCAGTCCCTGATCCCAAAAACTTGGCTTCCGATGGCAGAACAGGATCGAAGGGGGTATGGGGAAAGAGGTGGAAAGGACCGGGAGCTGAGTTCCAGTTTCTGTAAATGTCCATTGCGGTGAGGGTAAAATTTCGTAGATATTTGGGGGATGAGTAAGGCGGCTCTGTTTCTACTGGCCCCAAATCTAAATCCCCATTGTCAGCCATGTTGGGGTCTGTGCCGGTAGCTTTGCCAGACCGGTGAGGGATTTCCACTGCTGTTTCCTCTCGAATGGGGATAGCTGGGATTTGGATTCGAGTCCTTACAATGGCCAAGACTGTGTTGAAGACACTGTCCGAGGTGGAAAAGTACGTCTCCCACAAGAAGCGGCCTTGCCTCCTCATGGCCAAGAGGTCGTTGTCAGAAATGCTTCTCAGGAGGAAGTGCACTTCCGTGATACGTGGCTTTGGTATGATTAAGGCTGCCTCGTTCCACCGGATCACGTCGTGGTAGGGTAGCTGGACCTGCTCTCCAAGGATCACGGGGATGGCTCCAACTTCCAGAGCCTCAAACAGTCTCATGGCACACCCAGCGGAGACGACAAGGTGGGTGTCCCCCGGCGTGATTATCAGTGCAAAAGTAGATAGTTTCAGTAGCTCTAGTCTGTCTTCCCTTTCTCCACAAAGAGCCCACTCAGTGGGCAGGCTTGGCTTGGGCTGGTTCTTACATGTGAATTCGACCAAGACAAAGTCTAGCTTGCTGTCCTGAACAGCCTTCAAGGTAGCAATGATCCTATCGTCATAGTCTGCCGGCGCATTGCCTTCGATTTCTTCTTCAAAGGAACGCACTTCCTGTAAGCTAGATCGGAGAGATTCAACCTTTTCCCCTTGGAAGCTGAATAAGTATTTTCGCTTGACTGGCACCTGGGGTGGGATCTCTAGGAAGTTGGGTTCAGACATAGCGTAGACCAGAGGGGACACCACAATGTCGAAACCCAGGCGATACTGTACATCGTAAAAAGTGGATTGGGCAATCATGGCTCGCCCCGTGCTGACATTATAAAGGAAGTTCTGAGTTTCAGACTTCCTGGATAGGTTGATAATGAGATGGTTGTGTCCATCAGTCCTCCAATATGGCAGAGTGTGCAACTGTTGCTCTAGTTCAGTAGGTTTTGGCATGACAGGCTCCTGCATTTCTCCTACTAGGATGATATATATGCAGGCAATGTTTGCATTTTCAGTAACGTACACATTAGTTCTGACAGTGGATTCAAAGGCTTGCTTAATGGAAGGGTCTATGGAGCTCCCAAAACTGAACTGGTCACTGTTGTAGACATACACTGGGAAACCAGAGGTTAGTGGACATCGTGAATAGTCAAAGCAGTTGTGTAGCCGGCAGTTCCTGTTGGATTTTGGCAAAGGGAAGCTAGAATCGTCTTTGTCCGGTAGTAGCCGGATCGGCAGAGAGAGCTTGGGCTGGTTCTGAGCCATCAGTTCTTTGTAAGAATGCTCCGTCTGACTGATGACGTTCTTCAACTGCAACAAATCCTGTTTGGCGTTTTCGATACTCTTTTTGCAGGCTTCAATCTTGAGGTTCAGCTTGGCAATCTCACTGTTCAGCTCCTGCCGCTTCGCCTCCAGCTGAAGCAGCTCTTCACTCACCGACTCTCGGATGCGGCACAAATCTTGGACGTGCTTCACCTCACACAGCTCGTTGCCTGTGCGGGGGCCGAAGATGCGCTTGCCCGCATCGTCGGCATCATCTATGGTGGTTAAGTAGTAATGGGCAATGAGAGGGAAGAAGACGAGAATGATGAACAGAGTGAAGCTCAGCCAAGTGAGACGAATGCGACTGGACCATCGTAACATCCACGGTTGGCCTCCGTTGCCTACGCCCCCATTCCGCAACATGGTATACCCAGTCATGAGTCCAAGAGCTTGCGGCCGCACACTTATCACGTAGGATCAGTAGCCATAACCAGAACAGTCTTTATCTTCCAGTATCCAGAACGAAATGTTATTGGGCCGCTTGGACAAAAGGCCAATAGAATGGAAATTTCATCTTCTCCTTGGGATGATGGATACAGCTTTCGATCCAACTGGAACCGATCATCAAATCCTCCTCCTTGACTTTCAATTAACTGGGTGTTGCTAGGAGAGTGAGAACATTAACGTCATGGGAATAAGAAGCCTTTTCTTGGCTGGAGTAGCACAAAAGGAGCGAGCCAACTTTTACCATCGTTCTCCACATTCTGTATTAACATCGGAAGGACAAAGCAATCAGACAGAGGCTCACAGTATCAGAATCGCTCAATGTCATAGGGGTACCAGCATTCCAGTATTCCTGAAAGACAACAGCAGTATGTCAGATAATGCAAGCAGTGTCTGTTTTAGTAAATCACAGAAACATAAGGAACTTTTGGATCATTAATAAGAGAATAGCATTCCACTTCTACCTAAATCTGTTCTGTGGCTTGCAAAATCAGGCAATCCAGCCATTGCTTGAGGTGTGATCAGAGAGAATTTTTTCAGTCTTATATAAAATGGACAATGTCTTGCAGTGGTCTTTGTTCACTGCCAGTTATCTTTCTGGCCAAAATCTTATGCAGTTGTGCTGGTGTAATGCTAAAATCTTAGATGATACTACCTGTTTCCCCAAAAATAAGACAGGGTCTTATATTAATTTTTGCTCCAAAAAAACTCAATAGGGCTTATTTTAGGGGATATTTTATTTTTTTCATGTACAACAATCTACATATATTCAAAAGCAGTCATGTCATCTTCTGGTTGCTGCACAATGGTGGAGGGTGGGGTTTCACTTAACTGGGAAGGTTTATTTTCAGGATAGGTCTTGGGTCTTATTTTTGGGGAAACAGGGTACTAGTACTAGTAGTAGTAGTAGAATAAGAAGATGCAGCAGCAGCATCTCAGAAATCACACCATCAGAGGTACAAAAAAACAGCAATATTATCTTACCAGAGTGGGGTGTGGACTCTCTGATGCCAAATTCAGAACAGAACTGCTACCCAATCTTTCATTTTCATATGACTTCAACCATCTTTTGCACAACATTAGGAGACCAAATTATAACAAGCAAGGGGGGCAGTGAAGCCAAGTTGTTATAAAAAAGAGGTCTTGATCGGGAACTGTCACAATCCATAAAGTTAATGTCAAACACATTGACCCATTAATGCGCAATGCCATCCCACAAAGGACCTTGGCATTTATTTCAGAAGCTGCCTGCAAGATGTATGTGTGTGTTTGTGTGTTTTAACGTTCCACGATGCCAGCATTAGGAAACTGGCAAAGAAAGTTATCGCTCAAACTCTTGTTAAGCCTTCAAAAATAACATATTATTACCACTGTGCTTCTGGGTCTCACCTCCACAACACGATGCTTGACAAAGCAAGATGCTTCCAGAGGGTGTTTAGAAACTTGTTGTAATTTTAATGTCTGCCTTCTGCTAAGAAAGGAGGTGATCCATGGAAGGGGGAGGGAAAACCAGCCTTCACTCCTGGCTTCTGCAGCCGTTCTCCCTTCCAGTGTCATCTCAGTCACCTGACTCTTTTCTGACGTGCTACTACATGGAGGGAGAAGCCCCTGTCAGGATCCCATCACCTTAATAATGTTCTGGGCCTTCGCTCCAAGCATGCCCACTCCAATCAGACTGAAGCCTGCTTTTGTCTCTGAAGTGTTACGCAGCCTAGACTTACCCATTTTGCTGGCCTAAAATAAAAAGAAATCACGAAGCTTCCCCACCCAACAGAGGAAATACTGGCCATAAATCTATTCTTATTCTTATCTATTTGTACAAAATGTGTGTTAACTCGTGACAGCTAATTACAGCTATCTGATGAGGTGCCTTTCTATTACACAGCTGAGCACATGACCAAGATGTACCCTAGCAAGTCATCAAGTAGCCCCAATTAACTGCAGCAAGTTATGCAAACTTTACACAAACACCAGTAAGCTTCTGGCCACGAAATTACTCGTGGGAAGTTCTTCTGTATATTGTCTTTCTCTCTAAAACCTTTATTGGTATTATAAAATACAAGTGAGTGCACAGTGTAGTTACATTCCAGTTCCAGGTAGGGGGAGGAGCAGGCTAGGGATTATATTTTCCCATCTGCAGCCCACTTCGGAAGATTCACAAGAACTCCTCGTTCCAATAGACTGTGCCATTTCTGTGCACTTGAACCTGACTCTCTGGACCACATTCTACTCCGGTGCCCATTTCACAATACCGCTCACAAGCGACTGCTAGGACCACTTCTCTCTTCCCTCTTCCCCTCTTTCCCTGACCCTTCCCCCATACTACTGAGCGATTTCTCGACTTCTATTACCAATCAAGTAGCCGAACTCCTCCTCATTGTTACAAAGACCTCCCCCCCCATATCCCCATAAACTTTCTCGAACCTAACCTGTATATTGTCTACCTAGAAAAACCTGGAAAGGGTCATCCTAGGTCAGAACTCAATTGACAGCACATGATTATTATTAAGGCACACTGCAAGCATCACAACACTAAATAATATTACAACACAGTGGAGACAATCAGTGAATGTGAGTTGGGAGGAGAATAAGAGAAAAAAAAAACATTTATCCACGTAATGCACAAACTATGACATTTCTTCTTGCAAAGGCACAGACTTGAACAAATGTAGCAACAGGCGCCAACCTGGGCAGCTTTAAAGGGGGCTTAGACCAACTGATGGCACACAAGGCTATCAGCTGATACCATTCGTAACTGTTCTATGCTACCTCTTTGCTGCTTCCCACCATCATCTGCTTGGCTGCTCTGGAAATAGAATGATGAACTAGGTAGATTTTTGGACTGACTCACAAGAGTTCTTCTTCAAGAGAAATTGGGGCAACCAGCTGGCAGATCTGCTTCGATTTGGATTCCTGCCTTGAGCGGGGGGGTGGGGTGGGGGTTTGGACTCGATGACCTTACTGGCCCCTAAAAACTATTACATTTTTTCTGGACTTCTCCAATAATCAATTTCTGTGATTTGATATTTTTAAAGGGCTTCTGAAGATTTACTTCAGAAAAGCAGTGTCTTCTACTTCTTTGTATGTCATTGGTATGAATTAGATTAAAACCCCACAATTCAAAAGGGTACAAATTAGACAGAAATCCCATAATTCAAAAGGGAATGTAGAAGTATATTAAATAAGAATATTTCCGCCCTTTAAAGACTCCCATATTTCCTTCTCTCTGATGTTAGCATTTTGCCTAAATATAACTCTTTTTGCTATCTGCTGCTATGCCCAGGAATAGGATAAAAAGAGTCTCTCTCTAGATGCTGGTATCTCACTGTGGGCAGAAACAGCTTTTGGATATGGAATTCTTTTATGTAAGTAATCTTGAGCAGAAAGCCCCACAGTAAAGGATTCAGAAGGAGCCCTCGGAGAATCTACCACATGCAAGGTGCCAGATTTCATAATGCCATGACATGTTCAACGTTACGGAGATGGGCCAAGATTTGCAGGGTGCGTAGGAAACAAGCGCCACGGGGAGATGTTGCTTCGCTTCACAGCAGGGACACAGCGAGCTAGTAAAATCTTCCTTAAAATGATAAAGGGGCAGGCCAGGTGAGACAGACTAAGATTCTCAGTCCTCATCAGATCTTAAGCACAAATTTCTTTTTAAAAAAATAAAATAAAACATCTTTGCTCAGATCCAGTGCAGGATTTGTCTGCTATGTTGGGTTGCTCGCTAGGTTTCCTTTGTTTTGGGACCTCCCACCCTGTATCTCCATCCCTTCTTCCAGAAGCCATCAAACATGACACTGGACACACACATCTCCACCTAAGCACATACAAATGAGGACCCATTAAACCTGGATAGGGTGGCTGTGATTAGCAAGTGTAAACATATATAGACCATAACAAGGTATATAAATGTACATACACACAGTAAGCTCACTATGCTCACAATCTCAGTGCTTCACCCATGAATGACAACTGAAACGAACCCCTCTTAATTCTCATTTATATTCACATGCCGTTCCAGAATGCTCAGGGCGAGTGAAAGACAAGCCGGAATATAAAACTTTTTCTTAAAAATTCCAGTCTAAACAGCTGCAGTGCACAAAGAACTACAGCAGCTGCTCTCAATTGGTGGGGGCATGTGGTCCCCTGGGGTCCCTGGCACCTTTGAAGGGGGGGCACAGACTGGAAACAATTCTTCCACCCACCACCTGACAAGGTTGATTATGTGACTTATACAATCCTGATTTGGCTCATATTTCTTTCACATTGTGTTTATGGCTGTGGCCAAGGAAAGGTTGAGAATGGCTACCCCACAGCTCCTCGTCTTCTGTTAGCTCACAATAGTCGTCCCCAAGTGGAGCCCTCTGGAGGGTTTAGACTACAGTCCCCCCCCAAAAAAACAAACCCCTCTAGTCAGCTGTGTATCTAGAAACCCACCCACCCCCAAGAAAATTACAAGGTTGGGAAAGGCTGTTTTGAACCCAGGCCCTTAAACTACTCAAACAGAAAGTCCTTGTGTTCTCAAGTGTTACCCCCCTGGAGAACCTCAGCAATTTATCTAACTGTGGGGCATTTATCAAGAAGCTACGTACTTCCACAAGAGCCCTATTGCCTCCAATGATGAAGCACGTTATTCCAATAGTGAAGCAAGCCTTTCCCCGTTTACTCTCTAATGACACACAAATCCATCCAGTCTTGGATTTCGTGGATAATTAGACTCGAATTAAGAAGGTGTGATACAGAACTCATCGTCTCCATCACTGCTACAAGACACGGCAGTGTACACGTCTATTTTCCTCTGCCTAGAGTAGAGGTCCCCAATCCCCGGTCCGCGACCTGAGCTGGACCGGGCCGTGGAGACAGACCTCCCGCCCACCCCCGCACAGCTGATTTGCACATGTGTGTGCGCTCCAGCATGCCTGCACAAGTGCCGCACCGCCGTTTGCACATGTGCACAAGCATGCCTGCACAAGCGCTGCACCACCTTTTGCACATGCACGAGAGTGTGCTTGTTCATGCATGCGCACAAGTGTGGGGCATGCCCCGCCTTCCCCAGCCGGTCCGTGGGGTGAAAAAGGTTGGGGGCCCCTGGGCTAGAGGAAGAAACCAATGGTGTCCTTTGTCTTGAGAAAACACATCCAACCAACCTACCATGGATCTAGTTAAACCCACGCTTAACAGAACATTTACCAAACATATTCTCGAAGGCTTTCATGGCCAGGATCCAATGGTTGTTGTAGGTTTTCTGGGCTGTTTGGCCGTGTTCTGAAGGTTGTTCTTCCTAACGTTTCACCAGTCTTTGTGGCCGGTGTCTTCAGAGGACAGCACTCTGCCTGTGCTCTGTTGCAT